CCTGGGCTGGTAGGACAATATCCTAGGGACCACTTGTATCTATGATTAAATTTTTTTGCCATTGAGTTCCAACTTCTCTTTCAATACATGCTCTGTGATCTTGGGTAGAATTCCTGTAAACATGTCTCCTGTATAGTGAGCATGATGTCACAACTTCTCTGTGGAAACAGGTGACTGTGCAGGAAGAAAGGGACTCTGCTGGTCTGGCTGCTCTAGCATCAGTCAGTAGTACAAGTACGAGGACATCCAGTGTCACTGTGTCCCAGCCAAATGTCCGGCACATACAGTCCAAGACCAGTCTGGCATTCACCTCCCTGCAGCTCTCCCATAATGGGCAGTGCTTGAGGTCTTCCATCTGTAGTGGCACTCAGCCTTTTTTTGCTAGCCCCCGCTCTCTCCAGGCACATACCACATACTCCCCATCTCTTGCCACAGCCTCATGCTGACATAATCTGTGTATCCACCAGATCACCTGCACCTGCTTCCCACTTCCTGTTTTCCCACCCACTGGGGACTAACTTTGGTCTAGGGAACCCAGTGAAAATCTCTGCCTGTCAGTGGCTGCTGCAGTCACACAATGGTGTTGGAAAGGTATCCTGGAGAAGGGTCTCCCTTCAAAGACTTTTTTCCTTCCTGAGTACTCCCTTTCTCTTTAAAACTTACACGTAGTCTTTTATTATAAATTAATAATTCTTGATAATAAACTGCTCCTATTGAAATCACTGTGTGGCTACTGTCTCTTGATTGGGCTCATACTGAAATAACAGTCTTCCCAACTCCTCCCTTGCACAATGAATAGAAGCATGGATTGGTTTTCCAGGTATCCCCTTTCCCCTTCTCCAGGTAGGCCAAGTAGCTGATCTCTAACTTGTTCAAAATCAAAGCCTAGGATTAGCATGGAAGGACAAAACTGGAGCACATTTCTCCTTATCTCTAATCACCTGAGCAGCTCATGGATGTTAATTAACAGGAACAATTATATGGGCACTGGCTGGAATCGCCAGAGGTTCCCTACCTGGTTGGATAAGAATTACTTCCACTCTAACTCCTGAAGACTTCAAGTCAGATGAACTTGCTTCATCCAGTTAGGAATATCCACTTGCTTGTCAATGTAATCCCTAGTATCAAGGAACCCACACATCCTAAGGACTGACTTAGCCAAACAGGTTAATACTATCAGTACAAAACAGAGTAGGATTAAGAGACATCAAGGTAGTGAAACTGAAGTTCAAAAGCACAGTGACATTCATAATGATGCAACTAATCTATCCCTCTGTTACAGATATTTTTGTTTTGTTTTTCTTGGGAGGCAGGCCCTTTAAGCTAGACAGGGTAGAAAATCATGTTAACAAAGCAAGTAAGATTCCAAATAAGGAAAAGAAGAATAAAAATACAAATCTTTGGGGCCAGTGCTGTAGGTCAACAGACTAACTCTCCACCTTCAAGCATCGTGTCCTGGATGCTCCACTTCCCATCCAGCTCCTTGCTTGTGGCCTGGGAAAGCAGTAGAAGATGTCCCAGATCTTGGGTCCTTGCTCCCATGTGGGAAACTTGAAAGAGGCTCCTGGCTCCTAGCTTTGGATCATCTCAGCTCTGGCAACTGCAGCTGCTTGAGGAGTGAACCCACAGATGGAAGACCTCTTCATCTTCTGTCTTTAAATCTTCCTTTACAATAAAAGTAAATAAATATTTTTAAAAAATCTTTGTTTTCCATGCCTATCTCTGTTCCACTGCACATCCTTATCTGTGGCTTAGAGAAAAAACATTCTTGTTAAAGTTTATTTCCCAGAAAATTTGAGCAGATGGCTAACCTCTTAGCAGAGCCAGGTAGTTTTATACTGGGCCAACTTAGCTCGACTAGAACTACGTATCTCAGTATTCCCTTCCTTATAGAGCTCCTGTCTAGTGGTAACCACAAGGAAAACCTATGGAAGATGAGAGGCAGCAATGAAGCAGCAGCGTTTACGTTCTGGAGGTCATCTCTGCTCAGAGGTGGAAAGAGAATGATGGCAGGTGCTAATGGATTTTTAATAAAAGTGTATCTTCATTTTCTGTAGTGTCTCCATACAGTCATGTGTCATGACTGCCAGCCCTGCTGAACAACAGGGTTGTTGAGTTGAGTGAGCTCAACTCCAGCATGTGCCTGTGCCTGGCTTCCTGCAAATCCCAACTCATAAGCCACACCAGGGATTATGCATAACGTTCACTGACCTGTTTTACACAGTCCTCAGTCATATAAGAAAATCCTTTTCACATAATACTCATAGTTGTCTTGATGAACATTGATATGCAAGAATTCAAATTCTGAAGAATAGGCTCATATGAATTACATTTTATTTAACACTACTATATATAAAGGTTTGAATTTAGGCTAAAAAAAGAAAAAAGAAAAAACCCACAGAAATAAAGAATAAATCAAATCTAGATTAAAAGCAATCATTGCGAATAGCTTGAAATCTTGGACTAAAAATTCTCCATGATCTAGGAGCTGACACCATTAATGAGACAAGTAAACACATGGTCATGTGATAAAGCCCCTTTAAGAAAGAGAAGTAAGATATATTATCGATGGCTCTGCAGATAGCAACTAGGATAAATGGAAGTAATTACAATCACAAAAAACTTTATTTCTACACACCAAAAAATGAAAAGAATCATGCTTTCACCTAATGAAGAACTTCATAATAGCAAACATTTCAGAGAAGGAGACTTCTGTAATTCCATGATTCCTGAAACTACCAAGTCTTAGGGAAGCAAGCAGACACTGGAGAGTTATTGCCCAATGGGAACAGAGCTTGTACATGAAACGATGAAAATGTTTTGGGAACAAGACAGACACCACAGATTTGTGCACTCAGAAATGGTTAAAACAGCTGGTAGCATGGTGTGGCATGAGTTAAACCACTGTTTGGAATGTGTGCAACACATTTTGGAGGCCCAGCTGCTCCATTTCTGATTCAGCTTCTTCGTAACGTACCTGGGAAATCAGCGGATGACGGTCCAAACACTTGGGTACCTGTCACCAATGTGTGAGACCCAGAGTTCCTGGTTCCTGGATTCAGTCTAGCAAAGGTCTGGCTTGTGGGCATTGGGATAATGAAGCAGCAAATGGAAAAATTTCATATTTCCTCCCTTTCTCTCTCTGCTTCACTTTCTTCTTCCCTTTTTCCTTCCTTTTTTTTCCCTCCTCTTTGTATCACTCTTCCTTTCAAACACATTAACAAAACTTAAAACATACATTAGATTGCAATGATCTGTTTTCCTGTCTCTTAGCGCACAGCCCAGGACTATGTCCATAGCAAAGTCAGATCTGAGTATACACTGTATCATATTTCATGCACATAATTAATAACAACACACTGCTAAATTTTTTGGTAGGCAACTGTACTGTATTCCTCACAAATGTTATCAACTGACTTGGTATCATAAAATTAGAAAAGAACAGTATGTTTCTTGAAGCTATGACACTGTATCACCACAAACTTAGTACTCTATGTAAGAAATGCTAAAAGAGTTAAGCATAAAATTTGGCTTAATAGAAAGCAAAAACTCCTTACTGTTGTGGGTAAAAAGCATTTCTTTTGAACAACAAGAAATGCTTTTTAATGAATTTTACCATCAAGAAGTTTGCCTAAAGTAATTGCTTCAGTAACCGAGTGTTTCATAAGAGCCATAAACAATGATACGCTTTTCAGCAATGTCACCCAAATAAACCAGAACATTTCCTTAAGGGCAAAAAAAAAAAAAAGCCCATGAGAAGCTCATTTGTAAATGTTACATTATCCTGATGATAATGTTCTTACTGATAAAATGGAATATATACATACATATGTATTTAGTTTAGAAAATCGTTCCCTTTTGTCTACACTCACTTATAAATATGCAAATTCAGAAGAACACAGTCCAAGATACTTTCATTATAATACATGAAAAAGGAAAGTACCTAGGAGACTGGGAATGTACTAGCTAAAGGCTTGGCCTTGGAGATCCAGGGCAGATGAATGGCGTTCATGATTCAAGGTCCTTCTGCTTCCTGGGCGCATCCTGGCTACTCATGTGGGATTTTCTCTAGTGCCTACGCCCAGGAGACACCATGAATGGCAGCCACCCCGCCTCTAAAGAAGTATACAAGTCCTATCAGCAAAGCGCTTCCGGGTGGGTATGTTCCACTTCAGTCTCAAAATGAAATCTCATAGACTGGGGGCCATTAAAACATCAGATGTTTATTACCTATAACCCGGCGGCTGAGAAACTGACATTCAAGGTGCCAACAGACGTAGTGTCTAAGTGCTTACACAGTTCACGCCTGGCTCTTTCTCTGTGCATTTCATGTGGAACGAGGAGCCTGCTCTGCGAGGTCTTATTCCTTGGGTCATTTAATCCAACTTTGAGAGTACTATCTTTTATGACCTAGTCACTCTCCAAAAGCTCCATTTCTTCATATTATCTCCTTGGGGGTTAGTATTTCACCATATGAATTTTGGGAGGAAACCAACATCCAGGCCAGAGCAATGGAGAAGTCTGGCACGACTTTCTGGTTGTCAAATGATTCCATTGCTTTCAGCTCAGTTTTCTGAAACGGCAGAATGATGGAAGGGAGCAGCTGTGGAAGAATTGTGAACACGGGGAGATGGAAACAGTTTTCTCATTTTGCTCAAAATATATGCAGGTAAGCAATTTCAGTTAGGTCCAAACTATCAGGAATTGAAATGGTCTCCACTTACAACCAAGCTATATGGATTAAACTCCAAGTAGTAATCCTTCATAACGATCCTAGACAGTGAAATTCAACAATGCCAGAATAATCTTTCTCTCAATTTTAAAGTTAAGGTAGATTTGCCTAGTGTACTTATATTGTTAGAAAAAAAAAATAGGTCTCAGGAGAGAAAGCAGAAGTTTATGCCAATCTCTCTGGACCCATAAACCTCACTGGTGTCTCCAGGACATGGCGGGGGTCCACAGGGATTGGCGATTCTCTTAGTGCTAGCTGCAGCCCTTACCTGTAGATGGGGTCTTGCATCACCAGCATCTTGCTCTCATCCCACGTCCACTCCTTTTTCTGCAATAAAAGAAACTGTACATGAATAAGTTAGGCTTGTCCTCAGCTACAAAACTAGGGCACACATTGAGCTACTAATGCTTTTGCAAACACAGGCATCTGGCTCTTGGCGTGTTGCCCTCTAAGAGGTCTGGGGTTGATTGTTCCCAAAGAATAAGTGGAAAATGTCAAGTGTCTGGTCTGATCAGTTTCCTTCAAGCACTTAAGGAGAGTGTCTCTCTGGGATACAGAGGATAGGCTGGAGCCAAGGAGGTTGCGGGGAACCAGAAGAAGACGCTAAGTTGAAATTTCTTGGAGAAATCTCAAGGGGGAAAAAATTTAGACATCAACCCAGAGAAATGGGAGAGACAGGAAGAACACAAGGGAGAAGGGGGTTTAAGACAAACCTTCTGGAGATGTGAATGACAGTGCCAGAAACTAATGAAATACCGATCCCATGTCAGGGTCTCCGAATTAGAGATTGTTGGGCCTCTCCTAAGAACTAGAGGGGACTGTGTCCAGGTCCTTAGAATGATTTCCAGATGAAGTATTTCATCAGCAGTTTTACTCAAACATGACACTATACATAGCTGGTATGTGCACGGATATACATGTCACTTAGTCTCGGATTTTTAATTCAGCACTAACGCAATACACAGAGGTAGGCTTTGGACTGGCTCATCAGCATGCAGTATCAGGCACTGCTTTACAGACAGCAAAATTTAAACTACAATGAAAACTATTTTCATAAAAAAATTTTTTTTAATTAGAAAGTCAGAATTACAGAGAGAAGGAGACAGAGTAAAGGATATTCCATCCACTGGCTCACTCTCCAAGTGGCCACAATGGCTGGAGTTAAGCCAATATGAAGCCAGAATCCAGGAGTTTCTTCCAGGTCTCCCATGAGGATACAGGGTCCCAACACTTGGGCTGTCCTCAATTGCTTTTCCAGGACACAAGAAGAAAGCTGGATGGGAAATGGAGCAGCTGGGACACAAATCAGCACCCATACAAGATCCTAGCACATGCAAAGCAAGGACTTTAGTTACTAGGCTACTGCGTTGGTTAAAAAAGAAATATCCTATTTTTAGTTGCTACTCACTATCCTATCAATTTTCCTTACATAAATGTTCTCTTTGGAGCAACACTAAATAAGGAAAGTAATCCGTTTTCTAATAAGAACCCCTTCAATTATATAAATTTTGCAAATCTAGATAGTTCTTCCCAGGTTTTGCAAACATCTGTCCCTTGGAAGTTTTACCCGATTTCTTGTACCTTTGGTTGGCTTTCTTGGTACACAGTATATTTACCAACAGTTCCATCAAAACTAGGGACTCTGAATTGGATCTTCAGCTCTGATGCACATACAGTCTGATCAACATGATGCAGACATTCCCTTGAGTGTTCCAGGCACCACACTATGCTTCAGCCAGCATGTACTGGTGTACAGGATGTTTGCCTTATGGGCACCCATGAGGTTGGCTTCCGACTAACAGATTTAAATTTTTCAGAGTTAAAGTCAAATTCTTGGGGACATGTTCTTAGCAATGCAACTGTTCACCATGGAAGTCTTTTAAGCAGCAAGATACAAATATATGTTTAAAATACAATTTGACTGTGGGATAGAGTTTTCATAATATAAGCATTAAACCAAGCTACATCAACAGTCATAGCCACATGTTCTACCTGTACTTTTAAATCAGTTTGGTAGCACTTTACGAAGCATCTACTCTTGACAGAAGTATTCATGTAGTAGGTTTAGCTTAGTAATTATATTTTCCAACATTCTAACATTTCCATTTGGCTCTTCTTTCCTCTGTTTTTCTGCTGAGATGTTCTACTCTCTCATTTACTTCAACAGTGCTTATAATTGCTCACTGTTGTAATGAGTGCCTTATAATCTTTATTGGATAATTCTAGCATTTCTGTCATCTTGGTGCTGGCATCTGCAGATTTCTGTACATCTGAAGTTGAGATTTTCCTCATTACTGGAGCGTGAATGACTTTTAGTTGAAACCTGGATATGTTGAGCATTACAAGACTCTACATATTATTTAGGTTTTCCACATTATCCATCATCTTATGACACTGCTCATGTGGGAGTGAAGTCCACAGGGGTTCCATGTTACACCTGGGGTACATGTGGGGTTCTAGTACCTCACTAGCCTGCCACTGACACCAGTCTGCCTCAGAACAATAGGGGTGCCCTGTCAGTGCCTGCCATGTGGCTTTATTCCTCCTGACCTGGGATGGAGGTTTTCCACCTGGTGTCCACAAACACCATCTGGGGAACAGGGACAGACACTCACTCTCACCTGTCGGGAATCAAAGTCTTAGCATCCTTGTCAGCTTTTGCTGGCACCACCAGGCACAATGGTTGAGGCGACTCATTCCAGGCCAGCAAGGTGAGGTCTATATACGGACTGAGTTATTGCTGGCTTGGGTGGTGGTAGGGCCAGTTTCTTTAGATGGTGTAGCCGGAAATGAATGGTAACTGTCTAAAACTTGTTTGCATTGCTGAATAGCTCCTTTCACCCTCCTTTAGTTGGATACTGCAGGGCCTTATTAGGGATTATTTGTTTCTATTATAACATCTGGATTTTTGAGCTTCTTTAGTTCAAAGTGGGGGTACAGACTCTGAAAGGAAAATCCAAGGAACTCAAAACTTTGTGATTCCTTGGGACTCCAGTTCCACTGCCAGGATGCTTTCTCTCTACCTTTCCAATTTTATATTTGCTGTGTATACAGTGTCCAGAGTATTCCTTTGGAGCAGGAGAAACAAGACAAAGGGTCCTGCTACATCTCAGATGCAAAAGTCTGGTCTATACATACACAAGTGGATGCACACATATACACACAACACACACACACATGTACAGATAACAAACTCCATCAGAAACACTCTGGGCTTCTCTCCCTCAGTGACAAGAATACAGCTGGGCGATGGGGAGGCCCCATCATCTGTAGCTTTAGCAAACATTTCAGCTGAAGCCCCTGCTGTCTAAACTGAAATCCCTTGCCAGAGGATGTTTCACCTGTTGCACATTCTTCTACAGTCTAAATCAGACCTCAGACCTGATGCAGGAAAAGCTCCCAGACACTCCCAAGACAGTTAGCTCCTTTTGTCCCCTTATGCCACTGTCACTGGCCATAGCACATCCTCTGTCAATACATGGCAGTCGTGAATGAAACACTTGATGGGGCAATATCAGAGGCTGTGTGCCCATGGGGGAGTGGATTCTCACTTTTCTTGTGTTCCCACAAGCAGGTGAGTGCTGCTAAGAATCCTCGCTGCTCTGCTGTGATTTTCAAAATTAGTAGAAGAATAAAGACTCAATGCATCAAAGAGGCCATGAAGCCTTTGGCCAAGGCACTACTACATCCACTGCCCCTTCCCAAGAAGGGTTTACACTACGTGTGTGTGATGAAGCCGGTTTGGCTAAACCGGTCATGATCTATTGGACTTAAGACTAGCACACGGGCTAACCATGAAGGAGGACAGGTACCACTGAGGAACTTTTGTAAAACTACCCCACCATTGAGCCCTAGGATAAAAAGTCACTTCCAGCAATCAAATCTTGCCTTTGGAGACTATCATATCCAACACATAATCTAGGTTAAGCCTACAATAATAGAAGATGGGTTTTCGGATCTGCTGCATATATTTCCACTTAAATTGGCTGCAGTACTAAGGAAAGAGGTTACTTGGAATTCCAGCTCCATTTCCTCCTAGCCTAGCAATAATCCCTCCAGCATCAGAAGAAGCTTGGATGAGACTTTTATCTGCAGTTCTAAGGAAGGTAATTCATATATTTATTAAAAGGAAAGGACAACAAGGCAAAATAATACAGAGCAACTCTTCTTTCTCCGGCAGAGCTGAACAAGAGGGTAAGGAAAGGAGATTCCACGGAACCTTATGTTAATTTGATATGAATGAGCACTGTCAGTGTCAACAAAAGCCAGACAATATTTTACTTTTTAAAGAAGTTCTAGCATCCATCTAAAATATCCTGAGGGAAGAAAAACATAGAAACATTTACATCTACTTATTATTCTTCTCTGAAAACCGGACGAAATCTCATCCTTTCCCTTTAAATATCTTGTAGTACTCCTTGAGTAAGTCTATTAAATCTATGAAAGACCAGGAAATTACCAGGGTAACAAGGGATCTGAGAAATAGGATGACTCAACAGTGTCTTAGCTATTCAAGAATGTTAGGCAGGGGACAGTCCTATGGTGTATAGGCTAAGCTTCTACCTACAGTGCTATCATCCCATATGGGTGCCAGTTCAAATCCCGGCTGCTCCACTTCTGATCCATCTCTCTGTTATTGGCCTGGGAAAGCAGCTGAGGATGGCTCAAGGCCTTGGCACCTTGCACCCACTTGAGAGACCTGGAAGAAGCTGTAGATTCCTGGCATCAGATCAACTCAGCTCTGGTTCTTGTGTCCATTTCGGGGAGTGAACCAACAAGTCGAAAATCTCTTTCTCCTCACCGTAACTCTGCTTTTCAAGTAGAAAAAAATATAAGGTTGAGCTCTTTACATCAATGCCTGACTATAACTGGGCAATGTAGTACTACTGGGTCTTTACACTTTCTACCCATTTTCTTCCCTCTATCCTTCCTACTCCACCTTTTTCCAAAACATCCTGAGCAAAGGGCAGCTTGCTTGCACAAGTGTCAGCCCTACTTAGTACCCAGTCAAGACTAGAACCGAGTTCTCCTGGTGTGTAGACCAGTGCTGTTCCAGGAGTCTGGTACAATCAAGAGCTAATGAAATATGGTGAAAGGCTTAATGAGGAGGGAAGTTCTGCCTCACATAATTAATGGGTATCTTAACTCAGCAATAATGTGATTCTCTATTGCCTCAATTTTGCAAACACTTCAGAGAAAAAAGAAAGCAAGACAAACAAGCAGTTCCTTCCTAACTTCCTGTTTGGAAAGTCTTGCACAGAAAAAAAATATATAAGAAAAAAGTTAACAAGAGAAGGCAAACAGGATATAGGCAAACAAAACCAAATGGTTCAGATTTCCAG